CCCACATCTTGATGTAATTTAAGAGATGGATGGATGGAGAGAAAGAGAGAAAGGTGTGAGATGGAAAATCTTACACTTTTGACTATAAAAAAAAAGGACTTGCAGAGGAGAGAGGAATGGTCTCTGTCAAAAAAGAGAAAGAAAGGAGAAGATTTTTTTTTTTGGTCTGAAGAGAAAGAAAGGAGATTGGTTGAGAGAAAAGGGAGAGAGAAAAAATAAAGAAAAAAAGATGTATTGAAATTTCTTCTTTTTTGAAAAAGAAACATAAATAAATAATTTTTTTTTATCATACCCTTTTGGTCATTATACACAATCACATCACTTTTACAAAAGGGTTTACCAAACACCACAACACTGCTTTTTATATTCACAGCACTTTTATAAATATAGATTACCAAACACTTAGCTGCTTCACTTCACAGCCGTTTATTCTCGCAGCACAGCAGAAGCAGTTTTTTTAAAAAGCACAGCAATACCAAACTAAGCCTTAGTTCTTCGAACACGGAGAACCTGCTTCAAAACGACCGATCGCCAGAGGAAAACAATCAGTTGCCTCCACGCTGTCAAACTAAGGAGGAGGAAATTGAACCATTTTATGAGATTTTGCCCGCTCCGGAGAATTCTTCAGCTCTAGTACCACACCAATCACCTACTGAAGAAGTCATTCATGTAACACCTTTCCCTGAAACTGATAACACTAATGAAATATCCCATGATGATTTGATTTTAGAAGGAACAGAGCCTACATATCAACTTCCAGAAAGGAAGAATCGTGGCAAACCTCGAGTACAATATAAAGCAGATCTTAAAGGCAAAGGGAAATACCCTATCAATAATTATATATCTCTCAGCAGATTATCAGAGGCACGTGTGCACTTTGTGAAATAGTTGGTTGACATATCTGTCCCCAACACTGTGATTGAAGCACTAAAAGACCCAAAATGGAAAAAAGCCATGAATGAAGAAATGCGAGCCCTCCAAAAGAATGTCACACGGGAACTTGTGCCCTTACCTCATGGAAAGAAGACAGTAGGATGCAAGTGGATTTGTACTGTGAAACTCAAAGCAGATGGATCCATTGAAAGATATAAAGCTAGATTAGCGGCGAAGGGGTACACACAGATATATGGGATAGACTACTAGGGGTATGTTTGGTACGCTTCACTGGACTGGACTGGACTG